TGATACTTTATTTGTCCTAGTCATGATAATGTTTTTTAATCAGTACAAAGATTGTTATGTTTCATATCATCTTCAACCAATTACATGACTTTTAGCAAGATGACATGTTTTTCTTTTTAAAACTGTGTTCTTTACTTGCAGCATCTGTATTTTTCTATAACTTACATCACTACGGAAATGAAAAAGATGTAATATTATATACGTCTTTGATTTAATTATGGTTATATATACCTATGTCACAATCACTTGCATAAAAACACATTGATCCGCCTGACGACATTTCAATATTGTACAAATTTTCACTGCATTGCTATTTTAAAAAAGATGCCTTGCCTAGTTTAATTAGCAGCTTGAATGTTCTTTTTAAGTATATAGTTTTCCCATCGTTATATTAGTCCGATATGGCTGCAATACACCAATCATTTGAAAATTTAAAATATTTTTTACAAAATGTTTAATATTATTATACATATGTATTTGAGATGGAACATTTCAGTTATTATAACCTGACTGTCCTTTGCACTAGTTTTTATTGTATATTTATAGAACTATTGTTAAGAAATCAGAAGAACATATGCATTAGTAATATCTGTCCGTAATCTGTCCATATAAATGTTGTCTGTACATCTGTATTTTTTTCAAAACACTACTCCTCCTATACAGGTTTGATTCATTTCAATAAGACTTGGTAACAAGTAGACTATGCTATTAAGATACATAATTCTAAATAATATTACTTTTTTAGTTTGAGAAATTGTATATCATGGCTACTAAAGGCAGAAATTCCTTAGGTATTTTATTTTCCACAATGCTCACTCCCCCTTTGCCTTAATGTGGTTTGAAATGACTTTTTACATTGATAATCTACAAAAAAGCCTTTATTATATGTAGAGCTTCAGTATTGTCAGAGACTTCTGGTTTTTTTTTTGTTTGTTTGTTTTTGAAGAAAAGGTCATGTTCATACGTTGGAAATAAGTTTGCATGTTTGTTAATTAGTTTCAATTCTCAGCTTATTTCTGCATATTTCCAATGGTACTATTTGTATTGCTGAAGAGCTAGTTCTTTTTAATTGAGAGGTATTCTGATATTTTGTTGTCTTTCAAAAGATGTAACCAAATTAGAACTTAAGTTAGTGTTTCTTTATGTGGGATAAAAGTTGACATTGCTGTATTTTATTTTTTGTAGTCAGGAGTTTATTGCTTTTCATAAGAAATATGGATTATTTATAAAACATTCCAACTTCTTGCAAAATGAATTCCATTTGTGTAAATATCATACTTTTATACTTTAATTTATATATTCAATCTTTTATGTGTGTTAATCAATATGCTATAATGAATTGTATTGTATAGTTAGGAGACTTTTACTGGACTTTACATTTGCACACATTTTGACTCATGGTAGTGATTTGGACTGTGCCATTAGCTGTCATTCTGACACTACTAAAAGATAGCCATGATTCTGACATTGCTATAAGCCAGCTGTGACACTTAATAGCCATGTGATTTTGACATTTGTCAGACATATAGCTGCTTAAATAGTTTGTATGTCATTTTATAGAATGTGACTTATAATTACGGATATCTCTTCATTTATGGACTTTTAACTTATGCTCAGATGTGTTTGAATGTTTATACATGCCATAATGCTAGTCAATTTTTTTATTTTTATTCTAAAACTGAAATATAAACTATATAAGACATTTTACTTTAATTTCATCTTTTCTTGTACAGTTAATTTTTTTGGTAAAACATGTTTCTTGAAAATAACCAGTGTAATTGAATTACAATGCTTATAGTAACATAGCAGATATAATTATTTGGGAAACCTCAGATTCAGTATTCTAAGGAGTTATTGAAAAGTTCTGTACATTCTATCATGGATCATGTGGAATTTTGTGATTATGAAGTAAAATGTGACTGCCATTATGTGAACTTCATAGCCTAAAAAGTGTCATTAACAGGTAAGTATGGAAAGAGGGGGTCAATGGCCAGCCCGTAAAGGGAGGTAAACCTACCTCTTTTAAGAAATATATTGAGGAAGAATACTATCAAATATGATTTTTCACTACATTTGAATGACAAAATTCTTTCCAATAGAGAAAATAGTTCTCTTTATTATCCAACAGTATTGCATGAATCTGAGGTTTGAAATTTTGAGTTGTGATTGAAAAAAAAATTTTTCCTTTATTATTCACTCAGATAATCTTTCCCTTTTTCGGTTTTCGTTGGGAAAGGTTATTTATATTGAGTGATGATTATGTTTTTTTATGTAAACAACATATTTAAGACATATGTATATTATGACTGGATTGTTAAAATTTGTATGCTGACCCCCGGGGGAAGGGCAAAGTTTTATATAGAAATATGTAGGGAAAATCTTCTTCTCAAGGTTTTATTTTTCATAAAACATTCATTTTCATGTTCAATCTTGTTTAAAATTGATACTGAATACAAGCTCTTGACTTGTAACTAGTAAGACATGTCTTCATTTTCATCAAGTGTCAAATTTCATATTATATGCTCAGAATGTATCAAAATCCAATTTTGTATTTGTACTAATGTATAACATTTTGACTCTAATTATGAACAAGATTTGTTATAATTTTTGTAATAAAATAAAATTTTAAACACAATCTTAAAATTGCATTTTTTTATTGATGGAAGCAAAAAAAAAAATTGAATAAGATTATAAAATTATTTTATCAAACCTCTTGGACAATCTAAGGAATAGGCCTAGCATGTTAAAAGCGGCTCCTTAAGTAAACAGATAGTTCATTTGAAAATGAAACATTCCCATCTTGTGTGGATTTCATTAACATAGTACTAAAGCGGACACAAATCTATGAGATAAATGTATTTTTTGGGAATAAATTAGGGGCTTCATTTTTAATCCTCTAAAAAACAGTTAGGCCAAGGTGGCTCAGGTGAGCGTTGTGGCCCATGGGCCTCTTGTTATACTGGCTATTGTGGGCTGGGAAGCATTGTTTTTCTATCAATAATACATTTGTTAGAGCATCCTTTACTTCATAATGTTTATTCCCTTATGATTTTTCCCCAAGTGTTTCTGCTACACCCTCTTATATTTGGTAGGACAAAGAGGGAAAATTACCTGGTTGACCCCCAAGATGGTGTCCAAAGGGAAATAAGTCTTGTTAATATGGGTCTACTGAAAACTATCTATAGACCAGCTTTGGATGCCGAGTTTGACATACATGTATATTTTTGGTTTTGGACTAGCTTTATATTTATGTCCCAGGATCGAAAGATCCTGGGGGTATATTGATTTTGTCCTGTCTGTCTGTTTGTCTAGTGTCTTTCTGCATGTTTTCAATGTGACGAAAATTGACCCCGACTCGTGTTACTTTTAAGCTATCTTGGAAATAAATTTATCTATATAAAGCATTGTGTTTTTTAGACAAAGTACAAGAAGGTCAAAATCTGACCTCTATTTCAATCTCATAATGATGATAATATTAAACTTAAAGGAGTTTATGATTTAAACAAATCCTATCGATATCAATTTACAATTAATCCCTATAATATCAATATGAGGACCTGAATTAAGATAAATATTCTCCAGCAGATAGCCATTTTGATGCTGCCTCCGTTTGTCTCTTCACTTTAATCGTTATGACTTAGTGCTTCGTAATGCTGTACCAAAACAATACATTTTCACAATACTGTCTTACTATAGTATTAGTTATAATTTGGACTTCAGGTTGAATTCGCCAATATCATACTTGCGAAGTTGTGTGCATCACGATAACAATCGCCGCTCCAGCTACTTTCGTTATTTCTAACCAATGAAAATTGTCCTTACTTTCTTATAAAACTGTTGCATCATATTACCCATAATGCAATATTATTGCACGCATCACTAGATTGTAGAACACACATCACAAGATTTCGAATACACATCACAAGATTATCGAACAAACATCACAAGATAATTGAACATACATCAAAAGATTTCGAATATACATCACCAGATATTGAATATAAATCACAAGATTTTGAACATATATCACAAGATTATAGAAATTACATCACAAGATTTCGAATATACATCACAAGATATTGAATATACATCACAAGATTATAGAATATACATCACAAGATTTCGAATATACATCACAAGATATTGAACATACATCACAAGATTATAGAATATACATCACAAGATTTCGAACATACATCACAAGATATTGAACATACATCACAAGATTTTGAATATACATCACAAGATTTAGAACATACATCACAAGATTTTGCATATACAACACAAGATTTTGAATATACATCACAAGATTTCAAACATACATCACAAGATTTTGAATATACATCACAAGATTATCGAATATAGCAACGTTTGACATGCCATATGCAGGCTCAAGTATTCCAGTTTGTTCAAATCATATTCATCTCCATTAGCCACAGTGCTCAGGTGAGCGATGTGGCCCATGGGCCTCTTGTTATATTCATGTGGTTAGTATAGTTAGAACATGTATTTGTTTAGATTAATTATGAAGAAATTGTTACTTCTTTGGAATATTTCTTTGGAATATATGTAATATAAATTTCATATGAAGTAAAAATAGACCATATGCAGTTACACATTATACCGTATATAACTACATGTATATAGCTTGATTTGAAAAACATTCTGAAAGTTTTGTTTCATTTCGTCTCGACGGGTTTCGTTTTGATTTCATTTCGTTTCGTCTTGATTTCGTTTCGTTTCGGTAGGTTTCGTTTCGTTTCGGTAGGTTTCGTTTCGTTTCGGCAGATTTCGTTTCGTTTCAGTTTGTTTCGTTTCGTTTCGTTTCATTTCTATTTCGTTTCGCACTTTACAGGTACCCAATATATTAGTGATTTGGCAACTTCTTTGGAACACCTTAGAAGGGGTTATTTGTTCTTTTTGGACAGATCTAGTTTAAAAAAAAAAGAGAATGCTGGATTTAGATACAGTACAGAATTGATATATCCATGTTTTTTCAGGAATTTGTACTGTGGACCTTGTCATCCAGAATGCAAAGACACAGTCAGGTGTTCCATACCATTGTGCCAATCTGAGAACAAAATTGTGCCAATCTGAGAACAAAGTGCAGCTTTTGAACAACTTATTTATTTAGCTCACCTGAGCCGAAGGCTCAAGTGAGCTTTTCTGATCACATTTTGTCCGTCGTCTGTCCGTCTGTAAACTTTTCACATTTTCGACTTCTTCTCAAGAACCAATGGGCCAATTTACCAAACTTGGTACAAAGCATCCTTGGGTGAAGGGGGGTTTAAATTGTTAAAATGAAGGGCCAAGTCCCCTTACAAAGGGAGATAATCAAGAAAAGACAAAAATAGGGTGGGGTCACTAAAAAATCTCCTTCTCAAGAACCACTGGGCCAGGAAAGCTGAAACTTATGTGGAAGCATCTTTGGGTAGTGTAGATATTAAATTGTTAAAATCATGACCCCCAGGGGTAGGGCGGGGCCACAATAGAGAATCCAAGTTTGCATAGAAATATATAGAACAAATCTTTAAAAATCTTCATCTCAAGAACCACTGGGCCAGGAAAGCTGAAACTTATGTGGGAGCATCCTTGGGTAGTGTAGATATTAAATTTTTAAAATCATGACCCCCGGGGGTAGGGCGGGGCCACAATAGAGAATCCGAATTTTACATAGAAATATATATAGAACAAATCTTTAAAAAGCTTCTTCTCAAGAACCACTGGGCCAGGAAAGCTGAAACTTATGTGGAAGCATCCTTCGGTAGTGTAGATATTAAATTGTTAAAATCATGACCCCCGGGGGTAGGGCGGGGCCACAATAGGGAATCCAAGTTTTACATAGAAATATATAGAACAAATCTTTAAAAATCTTCTTCTCAAGAACCACTGGGCCAGGAAAGCTGAAACTTACGTGGAAGCATTCTTTGGTAATGTAGATATTAAATTTTCAAAATCATGACCCCCTAGGGTAGGGTGGGGCCACAATAGGGAATCCAAGTTTTACATAGAAATATATAGAACAAATCTTTAAAAGTCTTCTTCTCAAGAACCACTGGGCCAGGAAAGCTGAAACTTATGTGGAAGCATCCTTGGGTAGTGTAGATATTAAATTGTAAAAATCATGACCCCCGGGGGTAGGGCGGGGCCACAATAGGGAATCCAAGTTTTACATAGAAATATATAGAACAAATCTTAAAAAATCTTCTTCTTAGAAACCACTGGGCCAGGGAAGCTGAAACTTATTTGGAAGCATCCTTGGGTAGTGTAGATATTAAATTGTTAAAATCATGACCCCCGGGGGTAGGACGGGGCCACAATAGGGAATCCAAGTTTTACATAGAAAAATATAGAACAAATCTTTAAAAATCTTCTTCTCAAGAACCACTGGGCCAGGAAAGCTGAAACTTATGTGGAAGCATCCTTGGGTAGTGTAGATATTAAATTGTTAAAATCATGACCCCTGGGGGTAGGGCGGGGCCACAATAGGGAATCCAAGTTTTACATAGAAATATATAGAACAAATCTTTAAAAATCTTCTTCTTAGAAGCCACTGGGCCAGGGAAGCAGAAACTTATGTGGGAGCATTCTTGGGTAGTGTAGATATTAAATTGTTAAAAGCATGACCCCCGGGGGTAGGGTGGGGCCACAATAGGGAATCCAAGTTTTACATAGAAATATATAGAACAGATCTTTAAAAATCTTCTCAAGAACCACTTGGCCAGAAAAGCTGAAACTTATGTGGAAGCCTCCTTGGGTAGTGAAAATATTAAATTGTTAAAATCATGACCCCTGGGGGTAGGGCGGGCCACAATAGAGAATCCAAGTTTTACATAGAAATATATGTAGAACAAATCTTTAAAAATCTTCTTCTCAAGAACCACTGGACCAGGAAAGCTGAAACTTATATGGAAGCATCCTTTGGTAGTGTAGATATTAAATTGTTAAAATCATGACCCCCGGGGGTAGGCGGGGCCACAAAAGGGAATTCCAAGTTTTACATAGAAAAATATAGAACAAATCTTTAAAAAATCTTCTTCTCAAGAACCACTGGGCCAGGAAAGCAGAAACTTATGTGGAAGCATCCTTGGGTAGTGTAGATTCTAAAGTTTTAAAATAAAAAAGGGAAGGGGGTTGTTGGGCATGATAGGTATAGCAAGAGGGGGAATCTGGTAAAGATCTGCATCACCTAAGTTACTCAGGTGAGCGATGTGGCCCATGGGCCTCTTGTTTTATTTTTTAAACTAATATATATATAAAATATACCATATAAGAAGAATTTTTAGCGAATTGCCTACTTACATTACTAATTTCTTCCACACAAAGAGGCGTGGCAAGGTATTCAGACTATTCTTTAAATTTATTTCCAAATTTATTGTCATATCACTAAAACTTCTCACTTAAATTATTATTTTTAATATTGAATGACAGAATTGGCATCTCACATAAAATTCGACTTGTGTGGTATTTACATATAGTGTTGTCAATGAGTACCTAGTAAACTGGTTAATTGTTGAAAGATGTGAGTGTCGGTTAGTAAAACTGCTATTCGTGTACTTGTACATATAATATTTAAATTTTGACAAGTTAAAATTAGTAGGTAAAAATGTAATTTTATTCATATGCCTTACCGACGACACAACCTACTCAAGTATTTAAAAAGAAAACACCTGTTTCTATTTATAGATTAGGGATGGGTCAATTACATAGGAAAGTAATTAATTAAATTACAATTATTTTCCCAAAACCTTCAATTAAATTACCATTACTATTACATGGATTTTGAAATGTAATTAATTAAAATAAAATTACTTTGCAAATGTAATTAATTAAATTACACATTACATTCAAGAAAACACGTATAAATTATAAAGGAAATAGTCATGTACATTCCTAATCCTTTACATTTATATCAGATTATTTTACAGCATATTTTTACAATAATATTTTTAAAATGTTCATACAATTTTCAATTACTGTGTCTCCTAACCTACATCTTTTAGATTTGAAGATTTTCCTGCCATACTGAAGATTCTGTTCACTGGAGTATTTGTGACAGGAATACATAGATACTGACTAGTAGAAAGTTTACTCATGGTTCTACCTTAATTTATATGTTAAAAATTTGGAATCATGAAACATTCGATTAAATTCATGTTGAAAGTATAATTGATGCCTTTTGCATTAAAACTTCCTCATTTCAACAACATATTAAGATATTCTCAAAATGTTGGTATTTGACTTATTCTGTGCCAAACTACAATTTAAAGTCAAAGGTGTGTGTATGTGTGTGTGTGTATAAAAATACCAAGAGACAAGGTCAAAATGTGTGAAAAATATCTATAATTAAGGAATATGTACATGACCCCAGGGCACCGATTAGCATCTGATAATAACTTCTAACACAAGCTGAAGATATTGCAAACAAGGGATTAGAAGTCATTGGACTACTTATTTTGATATGGATTAATTAATTAAAAAATCAAAATATAAATTTTATTTCTTCACTTTACGAAGATCAATTTGATTTAAAAGTTTTTAGGAAAATAAAATGGGACAATATTTAATTAGCAATATACTTTAAAAGGGAAATATGGCTATGTTAAAATTCTTTTTAAAGGTACTTGGACACAGATTTGAAGTTAATATTTTCTCCATAATATCACGAATTATATATTCTAATAGCATTTAACACAAAAATTAATTAAAAATCTTATTTCATTTAAAAGTTATTAAAACTTCAAATTTTTTGGCGGGTTTGATTGACTCATCCTGGCACTTTCACATATTTAACTTTATTCTTAATCCTTCAGAAAAGTGGCAATCTTGTTGTGAATTAATGAGAAATATTAAAACTTTAATCCAGAAAAATAATTTTATTCAGAATAGAAATGTTAGAAAACAAAACACCTTCACAAGTATCGTCATTCCGAGCTAAGTCGTGTGTGCAAATCGATCACACTCGTGTTATGTACACAGTTTTTGTAAACAAGGCACGAGCTCTGTTTTTATTTATGTTTAGATTTCTCCGGATGCGTTCTGAATCGTCACAGTCTGCTTACCACAACTGCACGGACTGAGAATATATTGTGTGTTTGTTTTGCTTTCGAACATGTCTACTCTGAATTTTTCGAATTATAGTATCAATATTTGGCATTCATACACAACAAGATTGCCACTTTTCCTAAGTATTAAGAGTAAAATTAAAATTTGTGAAAGTGTAAGGATGTGTCAATCAAACCCGCCAAAAAAATTAAAGTTTTAATAACTTTAAAATGAAAAGATTTTTAAGTAATTTTTGTGTGAAATGCTATTAAAATATATACTTCGTAGTATTATAGAGAAAAAAAAAACAGACAATATTAACTTCAAAGCTGTGTCCAAGTACCTTTAAGAAATTCTACTATTAAAATATTTGCTCCAAAAATCAGTTAACCTTCCTTATGTAATGTTTATGAGATGATGGGGGAGTGGAGGATTTTTCAAATTTATTTAGAATCAGTGTAATTGAATGTAATTGAAAAGTACTTGTGAATTACATGCCTTTTTGGAAAGTAATTAATTCAATGAAATATCACATGTGGATGGACTACTGTTCAAAGGCAGTAAACTTATCATTCCAAAATCGATGCAGCAGAAAATGTTAGACTTGGTTCATGAATCTCATCTTGGTATCGTGAAGTGCAAGAGTAGAGCACGGGAGTCTATGTATTGGCCGGGCATGGCAGCGCAAATAGAGAATAAAATATCCCAGTGTATAATTTGTGCTGAAGTTCAGAATTCCAATCCAAAGGAACCAATGACGTGTACAGAGTTACCAGATCGTCCATGGTCCAAGATAGCATCTGACATTTTTGTATACAAGCAGAACCATTACCTACTCACTGTAGATTATTACTCGAAATGGCCAGAGATAATCATCTTAAAAGACCTTTCATCACTACAAGTCATCAACTCGCTTAAAAGCATGTATTCCAAGTACGGGATTCCTGATGAGTTAGTGTCAGACAATGGTCCTCAGTATGCGAGCAAGGAGTTCAAAGATTTTACCAAAGAGTATGAATTTACACACACAACATTTAGTCCATTGTATCCTAAATCTAATGGACAGGCGGAGAGAATGGTGCAGACAGTCAAGCGGCTTCTCAAGAAAAACACAGACCCTTACAAAGCGTTGATGGATTATCGCAACACAGAAATCCAAGGACTAGGACAGTCACCCTCACAGATGTTTCTAGGACGTCGTCTGAAAACAAACTTACCTATTGCAGCAGATCTACTTCGTCCTAAGGACAACAACATGCAGAAGAAACTAGAAGCCAGACAGTTGCAGTACAAGAAAATTTATGATCGCACAGGAACTAAGAGTCTTCCGAATTTGGACACAGGAGATAACGTTATGCTACAAGATGGCAAAACATGGAGACACGCGACCGTGGAATCCAAAATACCACTACCAAAATCCTTTATCGTATCGTGTGATGGGAAAAAGTATCGTCGAAACCGCTGTATGCTGAAAAAGACAAATTCCGTAAAACCCACACAGGAAATCAGTGAGGATTTCGATTTCCAGATTCCAGAGAGTAGTGCTGAAGAACATGTTCCGCTAAAGCCGTCTTCAGAGTCTCGCGAGTGCGCAAAACAATCTCCAGATGAAACCGTCAAAACCAGATCAGGACGTCCTGTGAATGTTCCATCCAAATTTGCAGAATATGTTATGCAACCAGTTTAAATGTAGTTTCATGTAAAATATCATGCATGTACATGTATATAAGTTTAATACCATTCAAAGATTTTGTAAACTTTAAAGTTCAGTTAAGTTTTCTTGATTTCAGATTTCAATATTCATTGACTGTTTAATGATTGCTTTGAAACTGATTAATTGATAATTGATGTGATTATTGATTTAAAAAAGGGAGGATGTCATGTATCTATAATTTACTAACTGACATTTTATATTCCGGATTTCTATGTTCTGATTTATGATCATGTTTGGTTCTAATAATAAAATATGGTTGTTTCCGGTTTACAAATGGCTGCTTACATGTGAACACGACAGGTACCAAGCTTTTCCTGTCCTCACCTGACAGGTGCGTTTCCATAGCAGGCATTTGTGTGGATGCGTTGCTGACGTCCCTGGCGCTACAAGTATCCGTGTTGGTACCAACACTTTTCTTCTGTATTGGAACTGGAACCCAGAAAACCGGTGGCACTGACCTTATAAAACTTAACTGGCGTTCCTTTGCTACCAGTCGATCTGAAACGGACTGCAGGGCTTACCTCAGTTCATACATTTCTGTGTCCATTCTTCCAATTTTCTTTTCCAGGGCTTTGTTTTTCGTACGCGCGTCTGTGAGTTTGTCTTCCAGGTTTGTAACGTGCAATTTCTTTCTCTCCTTCTCGTCCTTATTATTTTTCCACGCAGCTGAGAGTTTACTCTAGCGAAAGAAGATGTTCTTGCTGTGTATCAATTGTTTTCTTGAAATTCTGCATTTTATTTTTTAATAAAGCGCTCTTGTGATGTTGGTTAACTGAAGATTTTGCGGATAGAGAATTTATCTCAATTACAAACTCATTCTGCGATTCGATGCTGTAAAACGGTAATTCCATGGGTTGAGAATTAAATTCATTCCTGAATGAATGAAATTCTATTACATTTCAAATAAATTTTGTAAAATTTACTTTGTGACAATCGGCTAGCTGCAGATCTGTAGCTCTCTAGCTGGTCTGAAAAAATTGGGATGGATCACCAGAGAGCTACAGTGCCACCCATATTAAAAAGTATATCTTAATTGCGTACAAAAAATTGCGCTTGGTTCTGGATTAATTTCTCCGAATTCTTACCTCAACTGCACGAAAGATGTATTTCAAAATGTTCCAGAGACTCTATCAAGTACTAGTACTTGACATCTGCAAGAAGCTCGTTGGACCAAATTATTTTGCCACCCAAAATGGAAGAATGATTAGACGATATTTTCGATATCTCAAATTCAGGCTCAGGAGGGATATTAAAAACGGTTGTAAGGAATGTTTTGCTGTAGAAAATTGAAGGAATGTGCTAGAGACACACGGTAAGTAATATTTTTAGATTGCAGCAGTTGAAAAACACGGATATTGAATAAAGCTTGTGCACAATTAATATACACTTTTTTTAATGGGTGGCACTGTAGCTCTCTTGCCTGACAATATAGCTAAATCTCTGTGAAAGTGAAAGGCTGGACATTTATACATGTACGATGCACGTGGTACTGACAGCCTTTGACCATACGCAGAAATACCGGAAAATGAACAATATTTCAGCCCAAAAGACAGTTTAAACAATATAAATCACTAGCAGCGCAAAGACAGACCTTAAGAAAAAATCAGAGGTGGAATCAAGCGAATTTCATCCTTTTATGACACCACCTAGACAGTTGTGCATATGCCCTCATCGAAAGGACGGGTCTCCGCGTCTTGAATCCCCAACATTCATATAATGCATGTACTTGAATAATATGTATTAATAAGTCTTTTAGGAAATCTCATGAAGGAAACTTGATTTATATTTTAATATTTTCTATTTTTTTATTATTCGTATTTCTCAATTTATCCTGTTCAAATAACATGTATTAATTTTTTAGGGTACATTAAACCTTATTCGTCAGCCAGTCTATCCATCTGTCACGAGAACTTTAAACAAGAATATTTCCATTTCTAAATTTTTTTTCTATGATAACCCTTTGAAATTTAGCGGAGTTGATTTCCTGATAATTCTGCCGGAATGTAAATTAGGCAGGTCGATAGGTCAGGAGCTAAGGAGGCCTAGTATGCATGCAAATCTCGTGCGCATCTGTCTCTGTGTCTGACTCTAAGGAGGCCAAATATGCATGTAAATCTCGTGCGGCTGCCTTTGTTTTTGACACCAGTGAGCGAGGGTTATTGATACTGGCGTGGGAGTCCTCGTATATTTTAAATATATGTCCACGTTTTTAAAGTCTAAATCTACAATTTTAGTTTGCAATGAAATGGAAATATAAGGAATCACGAGAACTTGCCAGGGACATCAAACAAAATGCATAACCGTTATGCAAATTATCCCATGTTTTGGAACTAACTTGATTCCTTAATAACTACTGAATGAGTTGAAATAGGATTTTCATATTCACATGTGCATTATTTGTAACGTGATTTTCAAATATACTGTGATTTTTTTACCATGTGACCTTGATCTTGGAGCTTGACCTTCTTAAAAAAATGACATTACTTTAAATTGACTATAACTTGAAAGCCTCCATTTTTAGGTCAACTGAGTAAACTCAGGTGACCTATTGCTATCTGTTTTCGTCCGGCGTCGTGCGTTGTCCGTTAACATTTGAACATTTTCAGCTTCTTCTCTGTAACCACTGAACCAATTTCAACCAAATTTAGCACAAAGCATCTATGGGTGAAGGGGAACAAAAATTGTGAATTTCATGGTCCCTGCCCCCCTGGGGCTTAGGGGGTGGGGCAAAAACCACTAAAATTAATGCAATCTTTAAATATCTTCTTCTTTACTCCTGGACATCAAGCAGTCAAACTGTTTGCTTGATTGTAATCAGCATTGAGTCCTCTACCAAAATTGTGAAATTCATGGCCCTGGGGTCAGGGGTTCTATTGCTAGGGCGGGACTAAATAAGTATATAGTGAAAATGCATTATTTCTTTGAAAATCTTCTTCTCTGCTCCTGGGTATTAAATAAACTAACTAAGTGCATAGTTATGATGAGCAAGAGTGCCTCTACCAAAATTATGAATTTTATGGCCCCAGGGTCAGGGGTTCTGATGTTAGGGTGGGGCTCTATTGATTATATAGTGAAAATTCATGAATTCTTTGAAAATCTTCTTCTCTGCTCCTGGGTATTAAATAAACTAACTAAGTGCATAGTTATGATGAGCAAGAGTGCCTCTACCAAAATTATGAATTTTATGGCCACATGGTCAGGGGTTCTGGTGTTAGGGTGGGGCTCTATAGATTATATAGTGAAAATACATGAATTCTTTGAAAATCTTCTTCTCTGCTCCTGGGTATTAAATAAACTAACTAAAAGCATAGTTATGATGTGCAAGAGTGCCTCTACCAAAATTGTGAATTTTATGGCCCCAGGGTTCGGGTGTTAGGTGGGGCTCTGTTGATTATATAATGAAAATACATGAATTCTTTGAAAACAATTCTTTTCTGCTCCTAGGAATTAAATAAACTAAGTACAAAGTTATGATGAGCAAGAATACCTCTTCCAAAATTTTGATTTTATGGTCCTAGGGTCAGGGGTTCTAGTGAGAGGGCGGGGCTCTTTTGATTATATAGTGAAAATGCATTAAAGCTTTGAAAATTTTCTTCTCTGCTCTTGGGTATTAAGCAGATGAACTACCTATGTAGTTATGATGAGCAAGGACCCTAATCTTCCAGAATTGTGAATTTCAAGGCCCCAGGGTCAGGGGTACCATAGGGGGGTGTACTTATATACTGAAACTGGATGAATTGTTTGAGATCTGCTCCTTGGTATTAATCAAATATTTTGAAAAGCAAGGGTGCCTTTTCAAAAATTGTGTAATGTGTGGATCTAGGCCTAAGGGACAGGGGTTCATGTGTGATAGGGGCATTACTGATTATTGCTGAATATTACTGATTACTTGAAATGCATTTTTTGTTCCCCCACCCTGCCTATGGGCATTAAGTAAACAAACTAAGCAACTGCTATGTGTATTGTTATGATGATCAATGGTGCCTCTTTCAAAATGAGTTGTTGCATAATGCTCAGGTGACCTATAAGGCCCATGGGCCTCTTGTATAAAAATGAATTACCTGTGACAACGCCTTTTAAAATTCACTATGATTTTTGACCCTTTGACTTTGAAGTTTGACCTGCTTTTCAAAAACATTAACAATAGTCATACCTTTAGAATTAGAAGAGATAGGGCTCTTATTTTATTCCTGTGTATTACCTAAGACAACACTTTTCTAAATACACTGACTTTTGACAACGTGACCTTGAGGCTTGACTTACTTTTCACAGTTTTAACCTTGATCATAACTTTTGAATGAGAAGAGATAGGGCTTTCATATAACACAAAAATCACATGTACGTTAACCTGTGATAAAATCATTTCAAATACTACAGTGTAATATTTAATGAACTTTGACATTGAAGTTTATCCGGCTTTTCCAAAATTTAAACATTGCTTAAAATTGACCATAACTTTTGATAGAGAAAGGGTAGTGCTTTCATATCTGGTTTTACACATGTTTATTAGCTGTGACAAGGCCCATCGAAGAAAAAGGTATTATAGCCTAAATCATGCAGAGTGGGTTATGGCCTTTAATCAAGGTCAATTAGGATAAGATGTTTTGTCTGGATACATTGTTTGAAAAAAAAATTGTGAATTTGTCAATACGGTAGCACACAAATGCGATATGCTCATCACCAGCGTGTGTTATGGTGTGACGCAAGGTCATTTTGACAAGGTCAAGGTCGCAAACATTCCTTTAATATCCTTTTATAACAGTAAAACATTATAAAATGCTATCTACCCTTAAAAGATTGCTTTAACATTAGAAAGTGGCATTACCTTGACTCAAGGTCATTTCTCCCTGTCCGCAGCTCCGACGGAAGACCTACTCGTTGCTTTGCAACGAGCTCGGCTCTAGTTGTTTCCGTTTCTCTGCGAGCTCTCCGGAACTGCGATTTTAGGTCTCGTTGGCGCATGCGCATTTCCG